ACTTCTTCGTCTGCCGCTCAGCCACCGCCAGCCACTGTACGAATGCCGACAAAGCATCTGACTTCTTGGCGACCGGCTTCACCCACACGTAACGGGTCTTGCGGTCCTTCAGCAGCAAGAAGTACAGGCTGCCATCCTTGGCAGCCACGCGAAACGGCCCGCACAGGTCGATGTGCACGACGGCCAGCACGTCGTCGGCGTCGGAGCCGTGGTCGGGGAAGGTGTGTCGCGCCAGCTTCCCGCCGACGCACGAGACACACGGGGAGTCGGCGTTTGACGCCGACTTGAGGTCCAGCCCAATGGCGACCTCGTTCTTCGCCGAGCTCCGTATGGTGTCCATGCCGACATGCGCAAGCCTCGCATGCATCCGGTCCGGCGTCGACTTCGTCTTCGAGACGATCGCCCGCAGAGCTACCACCTCCATCGTGGGCGGCGTCGACCTCGTTGCGCAGGGACGCAGGTTGGTGCAGAGGACTCGCCCGGAGTACGTCGCCCGCCCGAGCACCTCCCCTGCTGCCGAGACGAGCAGCATGCCGTCGTCGTCCTCCTGCAGCTTCACGCCGTGCTCCTTCAGCTGGCCGGCCGACAGCAGGTTGGCCCGCACACCCGGGACGTACAGCACGTCGGGGATGAGCACCTCCTTCCCGGCCTCTCCTTGCAGGGAGACGGTGCCACGGCCCTGAACGTCCTGCAGCGCCCCATTAAAGCCGCGCACGTGCTTGATGGAGCCACTCGGCTGCAGGTCAACGAAGGCTTCCTTCGTTCCCATCAGGTGGTGGGAGCAACCGCTGTCGAGCAGGACCACCGCCGGGTTCGCCTGCACAGCCGCCGCCACCGCCTGGAAGTCCTCTCCAGCCTCCGGCGCCAGAGAGATGGTCGGCTCCACGACGCCGACCAGCGAGCACGACGCCATCTTGTCGTCTCGCCCCTTGCCGCCTGCAAAGGAGTCGGCGTCCTTCGCCGAAGTCGATGCCTTGGTCGATTGTTTCTCCTTGCGCGGATGATTTCCTCCACGACGAGGAGGACGGCTGCCAGACCTCCCGCGGCCGCCCTTGTCGTCGTCGTCGGAGTCACTGCGGTCGGGACAATCAAAGGAGAGGTGATCGGGGCTGTGGCAGATCCAGCACTCCCGACGTCGACCTCCTCCTCCTCGACCGCCGTCCTTGGTCGACTTCTTCTCGACCTCCTTGGTCGACTTCCAGCCACCGCTCCCGCCGCCACCAGACTGTCCGCGCTGTCCTGGTCGGCCTCCTTGCTTTGCCGGAGCGACGAAGTTGGCCTGCGCCAAGAGCTCCTGCGATCGCTCAGCCTCCTGCATCGCCTCGTCCTGCAGGATGTACGAGGTCAGGTTGTCCTCGTTGAGCGTCGCCCTCGTGCTCGGCGCCATAGACAGCCGCTTCAGGAGGTTATAGCTGCTAGACAGTCCCTGCATGACATGGGTGATGTACGACGCCGTGGAGTACTGCGCGCCGGCCATCCTGATGGTGGCGAGGATTCGCCTGGCTCGGTTGCAGTAGTCGGTCGCACTCTCCTCGTTGCCCATACGCAGGTGTGTCAGCTGTCCCTCCAGCTGGGCGATGAACAGGTCGTCGGTGACCTGGTACGTCGACTCAATGAAGTGCCACGCCCGGTGGCCGGCGTCGAGGTACTCCCGGCACCACTTCAAGGCGATCTGCACGCCCGGCGAGCAGCATCGCGAGATGACCGTGAAGGTCAACAGCTGCACGGCGCGAAACTCCGCACGCAGGTCGGGGTGGTGCTCCCCCGGCGTCGCCACGGCCCCTCGCGCGAAGCCGATCAGCCCGGCCATCTCCAGCTGGGGCTCGATGGCTTCCTTCCAGGTGAGAATGTCGGGTCGACCGACCAGCGGAGGGGTGACCGAGATCCTGTCCGGCGTAAACTTGAAGTAGCCGTAGCTCGGCGCAATCCCACCTGCCGTCACCTGGGACGCCGACATCGTCGACAGCCCAATCCGTCGACCTCCAACGTCACCCCGCAAAGAGCCTGCAGCCGCCGACGACTGCATCCCTCGCGCCTGAACGCCGCCGACTTCACCGGCGTGTATCACACCTCTCTGCCTCGACGTGCCTCCAGCACTGCTGCTGACTTGACCACCACCGGCGTTGACGCCCACGTCGACGCCGCCTTCGTTGTTCACCGGACGAGGAGAGGCAGGTCGAGACGGGTGCTCCGTCGCCCACATGGAGCGGAGTCCAGCCTCGACGACCGGCCAGGGCAAGTCGCCGTACTCGTTGGCCTCGTGCTTCCTCCTCGCGTTCTCCAACCGTGCCTCTAGGGTGTCCACCACCCCCGTGTCACCTACGGCTCCTACCATAGTGACTACCGCACAGTTGCCGGCCTGCAACTACGAAATAGGTAAGTGGTGTCTACGTCGACCTGACTGAAAGGTAAGTCGTGTGCCGTCCACGCTCACCGCACCATGCGAAGATAACTGCAGCAACGGGAGCTAGGCTACGGGCTAGGCACGTGTGCTCGTGTGATCTCTGCGTTCGTTAGTCCTTGGTCGTTTTCCTTGTGCACACACTACTTGCTAGTTCATCGGGAAAATTGGCAAGAGTTTCACTAGGAAAAGTTCAGAACAATAGTCCAATGAAGTTGGCATAGCAAGACTACATCTGAGCAAGCATTCAGGTCGGCCAACTGCCAGCGCAGCTTAGTCGACCGCGTTCCAGCACGACTTCGTCGACCGCGCTCCAGCAAGGCAAGGTCGACGGCGTGCCAACGTCGCAGGTTGACGGCGTGACAGCGTTGCTCACGCAGGACAGCAGTGCACCCTGCTTCACAGTTGTGCGCAGATGATTGGCCCGCAGAGTCTTGTCACCTGCACAGCGCACACACCACGTCAACCTCGAGCTGACGACTGCCTCTGATCCGCCACGACGACCTCGGGGTACCACCACCGAGGTCGGGCTTGCCAACTTCGCCTGGGCGACCGTCGCACTCCTCCGCAACACTTCGTCACCTAGGTAACCTGGTCGACCAGGCAACCACGTCGACCAGCAGCTCCCGTACGTGCCCGTCGACCTCCCAAGTCGACGACCACCTCCACGTCGACCTCACCAGGTCGACGACACCATCGGTCGACCTCCTCCAGGTCGACATCCCCTCTGGTCGACCAGCTCCACGTCGACCAGCACAGTCGTCGGCCGACCACCCACGTCGGCCGCCCGAAGCGCGTCACGAAGTCGACGCCCCACTACTCGACGCCCGATTGCTCGGCGTCTTGCGTAAAGGTCGACGTCGGTCCCTCCTTCGTCGACCACCAGGTCCGGTCGACCACCCACAGGTCGACCAGCGGTCCATTAGCCGACCGCCGAAGTCGGCTTCGACGTCCTCCGCAGGTCGACTCCCAAGTCGACCTCCCCGAAGTCGGCGCCACCCTGTAGTTGGCGCCCGTGCAGTGGTCCCCCGTGCAGGTCGACCTCCTCGTCGACCAGCTCAACCACTGCTGCAGGTCGGCTGCTCCCCTCACACCCGACCACGAAGTCGGCTCCGCCCAAGCGAGGACGGGGCCAACACCCAACTCCCGTTGACAAGACAGACTCAGACTCGGCGACAAGACTAGCAGCGTAGTCTAGGCAACAGCGAGCAGCAAAGTCGACGAGCTCAGCAACTAGGGCAGACGCAGCAGTGGACTCGAAGGAAGGGTCAGTGACGACAGTAGCAAGGAGACGCGTGACAGTAGGATGAGCAGCACGAAGAGAGTCCGACTCCTGGTCGGGAAGAGCAGGAATAGAGGACTCAGGAGGAGAAGGCAAAGGGGCACGCAGAGGAGCAGTGGACGGACGCAAAGACATTCGGTGCGTGCCAGGGACAGGAGGAGGACGCGGACGCGAACCACGACCACTAGTGCGAGCAGGACGGACAGGCGACGCAGGGCGAGACGCAGGCTCACGACGCTCAGCAAGACCTCCAGTAGGACCAGTGTAGGGAGAAGGAGCAGGCAAGGGGGAGGCCGGCTGTAACTGTAACTGTGACTGGACAGGCTGTGGATCCTCTAAGGGAGGAGGAGGACCAGTAGAAGGCGGAAGACCAAGAACCTGCCGAAGGAGCGGAACGAAGTACGGTCGCGGCCGCGGCGAAGCCGCTGAGAGGGCGGCGACGAGGCCGCAGGTGGAGGGCGGCGACGGGCCGCTGAGGGCGGTACGACGGGGCCGCGAAAGAGGCGGCGCGACGGGGCCGCGAAAGGGCGGCGCGACGCGGCCGCGAAGGGCGGCGCGACGGGCCGTAAGGGCGACGCTAGGAGGCCGTGAGAGGCCTAGCGAGGGCGCGACGGTAGGGAGGGCACACGGAGCACGATTCGGGCCTGAGCGGAGCGCGCTCTGGGCAGGAAAAAAAAAATCGTAGTGGTGGGCCCTAGGAATCGTTCCCGCTAGGAAACCTGCTCTATACCATGAGAAGAAACGAGAATGAATGAACTATGAAACAAGTGGGTACAAGTACTAACCCTAATTAGGTTGTACCCCCTATAGGATACCCCACTACAGCCTACACAATATGTATAAGCTACAATGTTCTGACAATTATAGCATCAGTTGGGTTGTAAATGTGCAAGTGTAACACCCAAACATGGGTGTACACTTTGGGCCAAGGCGCCCCAACCAGTTTTGGTTGGGCGCGTCCCAACCCCACTCTGCCACAATTGGTGGGGGGAACCAGGCCCCCCAATAATTGGCAGCCACCTCCAAAACATTATTGGTGGCTACTCCCATTGGCTAACCAATAATGTTGTGGGTACCCAACCTAGGTCTCCCACTTCTCATCTCTTATATGTACCCAACATCTTTCTAATCAAACCAACTCTTGAGTTCACCTATCATCCCAACTATGGGATTCTCACATGGTATCGAGCTGTTTTGGCTAACGCCAACTTCCCCCTCCCTAGGAACCTCCAGCCATCATGCTGTCCTAGGAGATCCTCGGCCCCATGCCACCTTCATGGTCTTTGCCCTACCAGCTTGCTCCCCTCCCTCAGGCTTTCACCCGTGGCATTTGAGGCGCTTGTACGCGCCGACCACCGCGACGAACGCGCCGACCAGCGAGACGTCCGCCCCGACCAGCGCGACAAACGCGCCGACCAGCGGGACGTCCGCGCCGACCAGCGCGACGAACGCGCCGACCAGCGCGACGAACGCGCCGACCAGCGGGACGTCCGCGCCGACCAGCGCGACGAACGCGCCGACTAGCGGGACGTCCGCGCCGACCAGCGCGACGACCACGCCGACCAGCGGGACGTCCGCGCCGACCAGCACGACGAACGCGCCGACCAGCGGGACGTCCGCGCCGACCAGCGCGACGAACGCGCCGACCAGCGTGACAAACGCGCCGACCAGCGGGACATCCGCGCCAAACTGCGCGACGAACACGCCGACTAGCGCGACGCCCGCGCCGACCACCGCGACGAACGCGCCAACCAGCGGGTTGTCCGCGCCGACCAGCGCGACGAACGCGCCGACCAGCAGGACGTCCGCGCCGACCAGCGCGACGACCGCGCCGACCAATCGCGCCGACCAGCGGGACGAACGCGCCGCCCGTCAATCCCGCTCCCGAGGACATTCCGCCCATCAATCCGGCCCCCGAGGGCCTTTCGCCCATCAATCCGGCTCCCGAGGGCATTCCGCCCGTCAATCCGGCTCTCGAGGGCATTCCGCCCGTCAATCCTGCTCCCGAGGGCATTCCGCCCGTCAATCCCGCTCCCGAGGGCATTCCGCCTGTCAATCCCGCTCCCGAGGGCATTCCGCCCGTTAATCCCGCTCCCGAGGGCATTCCGCCCGTTACTCCCGCTCTCGAGGGCATTTTGCTCGTCAATCCCGCTCCCATATTTATTCTCCACGCTTCTGCCCACCTTCTCCCTCTCCTCCTCCACCTAAGGGCCATCCGGCCCTCCTCACCCTTCCCCCCTCGCGTCCTCCTCCCAAGGGCCATCCGGCCCTCCTCACCCTTCCCCCCTCGCGTCCTCCTCCCAAGGGCCATCCGGCCCTCCTCCCCCTTCCCCCCTCGCGTCCTCCTCCCAAGGGCCATCCGGCCCTCCTCCCCCTTCCCCCCTCGCGTCCTCCTCCCAAGGGCCATCCGGCCCTCCTCCCCCTTCCCCCCTCGCGTCCTCCTCCCAAGGGCCATCCGGCCCTCCTCCCCCTTCCCCCCTCGCGTCCTCCTCCCAAGGGCCATCCGGCCCTCCTCCCCCTTCCCCCCTCGCGTCCTCCTCCCAAGGGCCATCCGGCCCTCCTCCCCCTTCCCCCCTCGCGTCCTCCTCCCAAGGGCCATCCGGCCCTCCTCCCCCTTCCCCCCTCGCGTCCTCCTCCCAAGGGCCATCCGGCCCTCCTCCCCCTTCCCCCCTCGCGTCCTCCTCCCAAGGGCCATCCGGCCCTCCTCCCCCTTCCCCCCTCGCGTCCTCCTCCCAAGGGCCATCCGGCCCTCCTCCCCCTTCCCCCCTCGCGTCCTCCTCCCAAGGGCCATCCGGCCCTCCTCCCCCTTCCCCCCTCGCGTCCTCCTCCCAAGGGCCATCCGGCCCTCCTCCCCCTTCCCCCCTCGCGTCCTCCTCCCAAGGGCCATCCGGCCCTCCTCCCCCTTCCCCCCTCGCGTCCTCCTCCCAAGGGCCATCCGGCCCTCCTCCCCCTTCCCCCCTCGCGTCCTCCTCCCAAGGGCCATCCGGCCCTCCTCCCCCTTCCCCCCTCGCGTCCTCCTCCCAAGGGCCATCCGGCCCTCCTCCCCCTTCCCCCCTCGCGTCCTCCTCCCAAGGGCCATCCGGCCCTCCTCCCCCTTCCCCCCTCGCGTCCTCCTCCCAAGGGCCATCCGGCCCTCCTCCCCCTTCCCCCCTCGCGTCCTCCTCCCAAGGGCCATCCGGCCCTCCTCCCCCTTCCCCCCTCGCGTCCTCCTCCCAAGGGCCATCCGGCCCTCCTCCCCCTTCCCCCCTCGCGTCCTCCTCCCAAGGGCCATCCGGCCCTCCTCCCCCTTCCCCCCTCGCGTCCTCCTCCCAAGGGCCATCCGGCCCTCCTCCCCCTTCCCCCCTCGCGTCCTCCTCCCAAGGGCCATCCGGCCCTCCTCCCCCTTCCCCCCTCGCGTCCTCCTCCCAAGGGCCATCCGGCCCTCCTCCCCCTTCCCCCCTCGCGTCCTCCTCCCAAGGGCCATCCGGCCCTCCTCCCCCTTCCCCCCTCGCGTCCTCCTCCCAAGGGCCATCCGGCCCTCCTCCCCCTTCCCCCCTCGCGTCCTCCTCCCAAGGGCCATCCGGCCCTCCTCCCCCTTCCCCCCTCGCGTCCTCCTCCCAAGGGCCATCCGGCCCTCCTCCCCCTTCCCCCCTCGCGTCCTCCTCCCAAGGGCCATCCGGCCCTCCTCCCCCTTCCCCCCTCGCGTCCTCCTCCCAAGGGCCATCCGGCCCTCCTCCCCCTTCCCCCCTCGCGTCCTCCTCCCAAGGGCCATCCGGCCCTCCTCCCCCTTCCCCCCTCGCGTCCTCCTCCCAAGGGCCATCCGGCCCTCCTCCCCCTTCCCCCCTCGCGTCCTCCTCCCAAGGGCCATCCGGCCCTCCTCCCCCTTCCCCCCTCGCGTCCTCCTCCCAAGGGCCATCCGGCCCTCCTCCCCCTTCCCCCCTCGCGTCCTCCTCCCAAGGGCCATCCGGCCCTCCTCCCCCTTCCCCCTCGCGTCCTCCTCCCAAGGGCCATCCGGCCCTCCTCCCCCTTCCCCCCTCGCGTCCTCCTCCCAAGGGCCATCCGGCCCTCCTCCCCCTTCCCCCCTCGCGTCCTCCTCCCAAGGGCCATCCGGCCCTCCTCCCCCTTCCCCCCTCGCGTCCTCCTCCCAAGGGCCATCCGGCCCTCCTCCCCCTTCCCCCCTCGCGTCCTCCTCCCAAGGGCCATCCGGCCCTCCTCCCCCTTCCCCCCTCGCGTCCTCCTCCCAAGGGCCATCCGGCCCTCCTCCCCCTTCCCCCCTCGCGTCCTCCTCCCAAGGGCCATCCGGCCCTCCTCCCCCTTCCCCCCTCGCGTCCTCCTCCCAAGGGCCATCCGGCCCTCCTCCCCCTTCCCCCCTCGCGTCCTCCTCCCAAGGGCCATCCGGCCCTCCTCCCCCTTCCCCCCTCGCGTCCTCCTCCCAAGGGCCATCCGGCCCTCCTCCCCCTTCCCCCCTCGCGTCCTCCTCCCAAGGGCCATCCGGCCCTCCTCCCCCTTCCCCCCTCGCGTCCTCCTCCCAAGGGCCATCCGGCCCTCCTCCCCCTTCCCCCCTCGCGTCCTCCTCCCAAGGGCCATCCGGCCCTCCTCCCCCTTCCCCCCTCGCGTCCTCCTCCCAAGGGCCATCCGGCCCTCCTCCCCCTTCCCCCCTCGCGTCCTCCTCCCAAGGGCCATCCGGCCCTCCTCCCCCTTCCCCCCTCGCGTCCTCCTCCCAAGGGCCATCCGGCCCTCCTCCCCCTTCCCCCCTCGCGTCCTCCTCCCAAGGGCCATCCGGCCCTCCTCCCCCTTCCCCCCTCGCGTCCTCCTCCCAAGGGCCATCCGGCCCTCCTCCCCCTTCCCCCCTCGCGTCCTCCTCCCAAGGGCCATCCGGCCCTCCTCCCCCTTCCCCCCTCGCGTCCTCCTCCCAAGGGCCATCCGGCCCTCCTCCCCCTTCCCCCCTCGCGTCCTCCTCCCAAGGGCCATCCGGCCCTCCTCCCCCTTCCCCCCTCGCGTCCTCCTCCCAAGGGCCATCCGGCCCTCCTCCCCCTTCCCCCCTCGCGTCCTCCTCCCAAGGGCCATCCGGCCCTCCTCCCCCTTCCCCCCTCGCGTCCTCCTCCCAAGGGCCATCCGGCCCTCCTCCCCCTTCCCCCCTCGCGTCCTCCTCCCAAGGGCCATCCGGCCCTCCTCCCCCTTCCCCCCTCGCGTCCTCCTCCCAAGGGCCATCCGGCCCTCCTCCCCCTTCCCCCCTCGCGTCCTCCTCCCAAGGGCCATCCGGCCCTCCTCCCCCTTCCCCCCTCGCGTCCTCCTCCCAAGGGCCATCCGGCCCTCCTCCCCCTTCCCCCCTCGCGTCCTCCTCCCAAGGGCCATCCGGCCCTCCTCCCCCTTCCCCCCTCGCGTCCTCCTCCCAAGGGCCATCCGGCCCTCCTCCCCCTTCCCCCCTCGCGTCCTCCTCCCAAGGGCCATCCGGCCCTCCTCCCCCTTCCCCCCTCGCGTCCTCCTCCCAAGGGCCATCCGGCCCTCCTCCCCCTTCCCCCCTCGCGTCCTCCTCCCAAGGGCCATCCGGCCCTCCTCCCCCTTCCCCCCTCGCGTCCTCCTCCCAAGGGCCATCCGGCCCTCCTCCCCCTTCCCCCCTCGCGTCCTCCTCCCAAGGGCCATCCGGCCCTCCTCCCCCTTCCCCCCTCGCGTCCTCCTCCCAAGGGCCATCCGGCCCTCCTCCCCCTTCCCCCCTCGCGTCCTCCTCCCAAGGGCCATCCGGCCCTCCTCCCCCTTCCCCCCTCGCGTCCTCCTCCCAAGGGCCATCCGGCCCTCCTCCCCCTTCCCCCCTCGCGTCCTCCTCCCAAGGGCCATCCGGCCCTCCTCCCCCTTCCCCCCTCGCGTCCTCCTCCCAAGGGCCATCCGGCCCTCCTCCCCCTTCCCCCCTCGCGTCCTCCTCCCAAGGGCCATCCGGCCCTCCTCCCCCTTCCCCCCTCGCGTCCTCCTCCCAAGGGCCATCCGGCCCTCCTCCCCCTTCCCCCCTCGCGTCCTCCTCCCAAGGGCCATCCGGCCCTCCTCCCCCTTCCCCCCTCGCGTCCTCCTCCCAAGGGCCATCCGGCCCTCCTCCCCCTTCCCCCCTCGCGTCCTCCTCCCAAGGGCCATCCGGCCCTCCTCCCCCTTCCCCCCTCGCGTCCTCCTCCCAAGGGCCATCCGGCCCTCCTCCCCCTTCCCCCTCGCGTCCTCCTCCCAAGGGCCATCCGGCCCTCCTCCCCCTTCCCCCCTCGCGTCCTCCTCCCAAGGGCCATCCGGCCCTCCTCCCCCTTCCCCCCTCGCGTCCTCCTCCCAAGGGCCATCCGGCCCTCCTCCCCCTTCCCCCCTCGCGTCCTCCTCCCAAGGGCCATCCGGCCCTCCTCCCCCTTCCCCCCTCGCGTCCTCCTCCCAAGGGCCATCCGGCCCTCCTCCCCCTTCCCCCCTCGCGTCCTCCTCCCAAGGGCCATCCGGCCCTCCTCCCCCTTCCCCCCTCGCGTCCTCCTCCCAAGGGCCATCCGGCCCTCCTCCCCCTTCCCCCCTCGCGTCCTCCTCCCAAGGGCCATCCGGCCCTCCTCCCCCTTCCCCCCTCGCGTCCTCCTCCCAAGGGCCATCCGGCCCTCCTCCCCCTTCCCCCCTCGCGTCCTCCTCCCAAGGGCCATCCGGCCCTCCTCCCCCTTCCCCCCTCGCGTCCTCCTCCCAAGGGCCATCCGGCCCTCCTCCCCCTTCCCCCCTCGCGTCCTCCTCCCAAGGGCCATCCGGCCCTCCTCCCCCTTCCCCCCTCGCGTCCTCCTCCCAAGGGCCATCCGGCCCTCCTCCCCCTTCCCCCCTCGCGTCCTCCTCCCAAGGGCCATCCGGCCCTCCTCCCCCTTCCCCCCTCGCGTCCTCCTCCCAAGGGCCATCCGGCCCTCCTCCCCCTTCCCCCCTCGCGTCCTCCTCCCAAGGGCCATCCGGCCCTCCTCCCCCTTCCCCCCTCGCGTCCTCCTCCCAAGGGCCATCCGGCCCTCCTCCCCCTTCCCCCCTCGCGTCCTCCTCCCAAGGGCCATCCGGCCCTCCTCCCCCTTCCCCCCTCGCGTCCTCCTCCCAAGGGCCATCCGGCCCTCCTCCCCCTTCCCCCCTCGCGTCCTCCTCCCAAGGGCCATCCGGCCCTCCTCCCCCTTCCCCCCTCGCGTCCTCCTCCCAAGGGCCATCCGGCCCTCCTCCCCCTTCCCCCCTCGCGTCCTCCTCCCAAGGGCCATCCGGCCCTCCTCCCCCTTCCCCCCTCGCGTCCTCCTCCCAAGGGCCATCCGGCCCTCCTCCCCCTTCCCCCCTCGCGTCCTCCTCCCAAGGGCCATCCGGCCCTCCTCCCCCTTCCCCCCTCGCGTCCTCCTCCCAAGGGCCATCCGGCCCTCCTCCCCCTTCCCCCCTCGCGTCCTCCTCCCAAGGGCCATCCGGCCCTCCTCCCCTTCCCCCCTCGCGTCCTCCTCCCAAGGGCCATCCGGCCCTCCTCCCCCTTCCCCCCTCGCGTCCTCCTCCCAAGGGCCATCCGGCCCTCCTCCCCCTTCCCCCCTCGCGTCCTCCTCCCAAGGGCCATCCGGCCCTCCTCCCCCTTCCCCCCTCGCGTCCTCCTCCCAAGGGCCATCCGGCCCTCCTCCCCCTTCCCCCCTCGCGTCCTCCTCCCAAGGGCCATCCGGCCCTCCTCCCCCTTCCCCCTCGCGTCCTCCTCCCAAGGGCCATCCGGCCCTCCTCCCCCTTCCCCCCTCGCGTCCTCCTCCCAAGGGCCATCCGGCCCTCCTCCCCCTTCCCCCCTCGCGTCCTCCTCCCAAGGGCCATCCGGCCCTCCTCCCCCTTCCCCCCTCGCGTCCTCCTCCCAAGGGCCATCCGGCCCTCCTCCCCCTTCCCCCCTCGCGTCCTCCTCCCAAGGGCCATCCGGCCCTCCTCCCCCTTCCCCCCTCGCGTCCTCCTCCCAAGGGCCATCCGGCCCTCCTCCCCCTTCCCCCCTCGCGTCCTCCTCCCAAGGGCCATCCGGCCCTCCTCCCCCTTCCCCCCTCGCGTCCTCCTCCCAAGGGCCATCCGGCCCTCCTCCCCCTTCCCCCCTCGCGTCCTCCTCCCAAGGGCCATCCGGCCCTCCTCCCCCTTCCCCCCTCGCGTCCTCCTCCCAAGGGCCATCCGGCCCTCCTCCCCCTTCCCCCCTCGCGTCCTCCTCCCAAGGGCCATCCGGCCCTCCTCCCCCTTCCCCCCTCGCGTCCTCCTCCCAAGGGCCATCCGGCCCTCCTCCCCCTTCCCCCCTCGCGTCCTCCTCCCAAGGGCCATCCGGCCCTCCTCCCCCTTCCCCCCTCGCGTCCTCCTCCCAAGGGCCATCCGGCCCTCCTCCCCCTTCCCCCCTCGCGTCCTCCTCCCAAGGGCCATCCGGCCCTCCTCCCCCTTCCCCCCTCGCGTCCTCCTCCCAAGGGCCATCCGGCCCTCCTCCCCCTTCCCCCCTCGCGTCCTCCTCCCAAGGGCCATCCGGCCCTCCTCCCCCTTCCCCCCTCGCGTCCTCCTCCCAAGGGCCATCCGGCCCTCCTCCCCCTTCCCCCCTCGCGTCCTCCTCCCAAGGGCCATCCGGCCCTCCTCCCCCTTCCCCCCTCGCGTCCTCCTCCCAAGGGCCATCCGGCCCTCCTCCCCCTTCCCCCCTCGCGTCCTCCTCCCAAGGGCCATCCGGCCCTCCTCCCCCTTCCCCCCTCGCGTCCTCCTCCCAAGGGCCATCCGGCCCTCCTCCCCCTTCCCCCCTCGCGTCCTCCTCCCAAGGGCCATCCGGCCCTCCTCCCCCTTCCCCCCTCGCGTCCTCCTCCCAAGGGCCATCCGGCCCTCCTCCCCCTTCCCCCCTCGCGTCCTCCTCCCAAGGGCCATCCGGCCCTCCTCCCCCTTCCCCCCTCGCGTCCTCCTCCCAAGGGCCATCCGGCCCTCCTCCCCCTTCCCCCCTCGCGTCCTCCTCCCAAGGGCCATCCGGCCCTCCTCCCCCTTCCCCCCTCGCGTCCTCCTCCCAAGGGCCATCCGGCCCTCCTCCCCCTTCCCCCCTCGCGTCCTCCTCCCAAGGGCCATCCGGCCCTCCTCCCCCTTCCCCCCTCGCGTCCTCCTCCCAAGGGCCATCCGGCCCTCCTCCCCCTTCCCCCCTCGCGTCCTCCTCCCAAGGGCCATCCGGCCCTCCTCCCCCTTCCCCCCTCGCGTCCTCCTCCCAAGGGCCATCCGGCCCTCCTCCCCCTTCCCCCCTCGCGTCCTCCTCCCAAGGGCCATCCGGCCCTCCTCCCCCTTCCCCCCTCGCGTCCTCCTCCCAAGGGCCATCCGGCCCTCCTCCCCCTTCCCCCCTCGCGTCCTCCTCCCAAGGGCCATCCGGCCCTCCTCCCCCTTCCCCCCTCGCGTCCTCCTCCCAAGGGCCATCCGGCCCTCCTCCCCCTTCCCCCCTCGCGTCCTCCTCCCAAGGGCCATCCGGCCCTCCTCCCCCTTCCCCCCTCGCGTCCTCCTCCCAAGGGCCATCCGGCCCTCCTCCCCCTTCCCCCCTCGCGTCCTCCTCCCAAGGGCCATCCGGCCCTCCTCCCCCTTCCCCCCTCGCGTCCTCCTCCCAAGGGCCATCCGGCCCTCCTCCCCCTTCCCCCCTCGCGTCCTCCTCCCAAGGGCCATCCGGCCCTCCTCCCCCTTCCCCCCTCGCGTCCTCCTCCCAAGGGCCATCCGGCCCTCCTCCCCCTTCCCCCCTCGCGTCCTCCTCCCAAGGGCCATCCGGCCCTCCTCCCCCTTCCCCCCTCGCGTCCTCCTCCCAAGGGCCATCCGGCCCTCCTCCCCCTTCCCCCCTCGCGTCCTCCTCCCAAGGGCCATCCGGCCCTCCTCCCCCTTCCCCCCTCGCGTCCTCCTCCCAAGGGCCATCCGGCCCTCCTCCCCCTTCCCCCCTCGCGTCCTCCTCCCAAGGGCCATCCGGCCCTCCTCCCCCTTCCCCCCTCGCGTCCTCCTCCCAAGGGCCATCCGGCCCTCCTCCCCCTTCCCCCCTCGCGTCCTCCTCCCAAGGGCCATCCGGCCCTCCTCCCCCTTCCCCCCTCGCGTCCTCCTCCCAAGGGCCATCCGGCCCTCCTCCCCCTTCCCCCCTCGCGTCCTCCTCCCAAGGGCCATCCGGCCCTCCTCCCCCTTCCCCCCTCGCGTCCTCCTCCCAAGGGCCATCCGGCCCTCCTCCCCCTTCCCCCCTCGCGTCCTCCTCCCAAGGGCCATCCGGCCCTCCTCCCCCTTCCCCCCTCGCGTCCTCCTCCCAAGGGCCATCCGGCCCTCCTCCCCCTTCCCCCCTCGCGTCCTCCTCCCAAGGGCCATCCGGCCCTCCTCCCCCTTCCCCCCTCGCGTCCTCCTCCCAAGGGCCATCCGGCCCTCCTCCCCCTTCCCCCCTCGCGTCCTCCTCCCAAGGGCCATCCGGCCCTCCTCCCCCTTCCCCCCTCGCGTCCTCCTCCCAAGGGCCATCCGGCCCTCCTCCCCCTTCCCCCCTCGCGTCCTCCTCCCAAGGGCCATCCGGCCCTCCTCCCCCTTCCCCCCTCGCGTCCTCCTCCCAAGGGCCATCCGGCCCTCCTCCCCCTTCCCCCCTCGCGTCCTCCTCCCAAGGGCCATCCGGCCCTCCTCCCCCTTCCCCCCTCGCGTCCTCCTCCCAAGGGCCATCCGGCCCTCCTCCCCCTTCCCCCCTCGCGTCCTCCTCCCAAGGGCCATCCGGCCCTCCTCCCCCTTCCCCCCTCGCGTCCTCCTCCCAAGGGCCATCCGGCCCTCCTCCCCCTTCCCCCCTCGCGTCCTCCTCCCAAGGGCCATCCGGCCCTCCTCCCCCTTCCCCCCTCGCGTCCTCCTCCCAAGGGCCATCCGGCCCTCCTCCCCCTTCCCCCCTCGCGTCCTCCTCCCAAGGGCCATCCGGCCCTCCTCCCCCTTCCCCCCTCGCGTCCTCCTCCCAAGGGCCATCCGGCCCTCCTCCCCCTTCCCCCCTCGCGTCCTCCTCCCAAGGGCCATCCGGCCCTCCTCCCCCTTCCCCCCTCGCGTCCTCCTCCCAAGGGCCATCCGGCCCTCCTCCCCCTTCCCCCCTCGCGTCCTCCTCCCAAGGGCCATCCGGCCCTCCTCCCCCTTCCCCCCTCGCGTCCTCCTCCCAAGGGCCATCCGGCCCTCCTCCCCCTTCCCCCCTCGCGTCCTCCTCCCAAGGGCCATCCGGCCCTCCTCCCCCTTCCCCCCTCGCGTCCTCCTCCCAAGGGCCATCCGGCCCTCCTCCCCCTTCCCCCCTCGCGTCCTCCTCCCAAGGGCCATCCGGCCCTCCTCCCCCTTCCCCCCTCGCGTCCTCCTCCCAAGGGCCATCCGGCCCTCCTCCCCCTTCCCCCCTCGCGTCCTCCTCCCAAGGGCCATCCGGCCCTCCTCCCCCTTCCCCCCTCGCGTCCTCCTCCCAAGGGCCATCCGGCCCTCCTCCCCCTTCCCCCCTCGCGTCCTCCTCCCAAGGGCCATCCGGCCCTCCTCCCCCTTCCCCCCTCGCGTCCTCCTCCCAAGGGCCATCCGGCCCTCCTCCCCCTTCCCCCCTCGCGTCCTCCTCCCAAGGGCCATCCGGCCCTCCTCCCCCTTCCCCCCTCGCGTCCTCCTCCCAAGGGCCATCCGGCCCTCCTCCCCCTTCCCCCCTCGCGTCCTCCTCCCAAGGGCCATCCGGCCCTCCTCCCCCTTCCCCCCTCGCGTCCTCCTCCCAAGGGCCATCCGGCCCTCCTCCCCCTTCCCCCCTCGCGTCCTCCTCCCAAGGGCCATCCGGCCCTCCTCCCCCTTCCCCCCTCGCGTCCTCCTCCCAAGGGCCATCCGGCCCTCCTCCCCCTTCCCCCCTCGCGTCCTCCTCCCAAGGGCCATCCGGCCCTCCTCCCCCTTCCCCCCTCGCGTCCTCCTCCCAAGGGCCATCCGGCCCTCCTCCCCCTTCCCCCCTCGCGTCCTCCTCCCAAGGGCCATCCGGCCCTCCTCCCCCTTCCCCCCTCGCGTCCTCCTCCCAAGGGCCATCCGGCCCTCCTCCCCCTTCCCCCCTCGCGTCCTCCTCCCAAGGGCCATCCGGCCCTCCTCCCCCTTCCCCCCTCGCGTCCTCCTCCCAAGGGCCATCCGGCCCTCCTCCCCCTTCCCCCCTCGCGTCCTCCTCCCAAGGGCCATCCGGCCCTCCTCCCCCTTCCCCCCTCGCGTCCTCCTCCCAAGGGCCATCCGGCCCTCCTCCCCCTTCCCCCCTCGCGTCCTCCTCCCAAGGGCCATCCGGCCCTCCTCCCCCTTCCCCCCTCGCGTCCTCCTCCCAAGGGCCATCCGGCCCTCCTCCCCCTTCCCCCCTCGCGTCCTCCTCCCAAGGGCCATCCGGCCCTCCTCCCCCTTCCCCCCTCGCGTCCTCCTCCCAAGGGCCATCCGGCCCTCCTCCCCCTTCCCCCCTCGCGTCCTCCTCCCAAGGGCCATCCGGCCCTCCTCCCCCTTCCCCCCTCGCGTCCTCCTCCCAAGGGCCATCCGGCCCTCCTCCCCCTTCCCCCCTCGCGTCCTCCTCCCAAGGGCCATCCGGCCCTCCTCCCCCTTCCCCCCTCGCGTCCTCCTCCCAAGGGCCATCCGGCCCTCCTCCCCCTTCCCCCCTCGCGTCCTCCTCCCAAGGGCCATCCGGCCCTCCTCCCCCTTCCCCCTCGCTGCCGCTGCCGTCTCCCTTCGCCGCCGCAGCCCGCCCGCTGCAGCTGCCGTCTCCCTTCGCCGCCGCAGCCCGCCCGCTGCAGCCGCCGTCATCCGCCGCAGCCCCTCCTTCGGCTGGCGTGCCGCATCATCCGCCGCAGCCCCTCCTTCGGCTGGCGTGCCGCATCATCCGCCGCAGCCCCTCCTTTGGCTGGCGTGCCGCATCATCCGCCGCAGCCCCTCCTTGGGCTGGCGTGCCGCATCATCCGCCGCAGCCCCTCCTTCGGCTGGCGTGCTGCAGCCGCCGTCATCCGCCGCAGCCCCTCCTTCGGCTGGCGTGCCGCATCATCCGCCGCAGCCCCTCCTTCGGCTGGCGTGCCACATCATCCGCCGCAGCCCCTCCTTTGGCTGGCGTGCCGCATCATCCGCCGCAGCCCCTCCTTGGGCTGGCGTGCCGCATCATCCGCCGCAGCCCCTCCTTCGGCTGGCGTGCCGCATCATCCGCCGCAGCCCCTCCTTCGGCTGGCTTGCCTCCTCACCTGCAGCAGCCCCCCCTCCCGGCTGGCGTGCGACCTCACTGCCGCAGCACCTTGGGCTGGCTTGCCTCCTCACCTGCAGCAGCACCCCCTCCCGGCTGGCGTGCGACCTCATCGCCGCAGCACCTTGGGCTGGCTTGCCTCCTCACCTGCAGCAGCCCCCCCTCCCGGCTGGCGTGCGACCTCACCGCCGCAGCACCTTGGGCTGGCTTCCCTCCTCACCTGCAGCAGCCCCCCCTCCCAGCTGGCGTGCGACCTCACCGCCGCCGCACCTTGGGCTGGCTTGCCTCCTCACCTGCAGCAGCCCCCCCTCCCGGCTGGCGTGCGACCTTGTCAACGGGAGTTGGGTATTGGCCCCGTCCTCGCTTGGACGGAGCCGACTTCGTGGTCGGGTGTGAGGGGAGCAGCCGACCTTCAGCAGTGGGTGAGCTGGTCGATGAGGAGGTCGACCTGCACGGGGGACCAGTGCACGGGCGCCGACTTCAGGGTGGCGCCGACTTCAGGGAGGTCGACTTGGGAGTCGACCTCCGGAGGACGCCAACTTGGCGTAGCCGACTTCGGCGGTCGGCTAACGGACCGCAGGTCGACCTGTTAGTGGTCGACTGGACCTGGTGGTCGACGAAGGAGGGGCCGACGTCGACCTTGGCGCAGGACGCCGAGCAGTCGGGCGTCGAGTAGCGGGGCGTCAACTTCGTGACGCTAGCTTTGGGTGGCCGACGTGGGTGGTCGGCCGACGACTGTGCTGGTCGATGAGGAGCAGGTCGACCAGGAGTACTGGTCGACATGGAGCTGGTCGACCAGAGGGGACGTCGACCTGGAGGAGGTCGACGTGGAGGTGGTCGTCGACTTGGGAGGTCGACGGGCACGAACGAGAGCTGCTGGTCGACGTGGTTGCCTGGTCGACCAGGTTACCTGGGTGACGAAGTGCTGCGGAGGAGTGCGACGGTCGCCCAGGCGAAGTTGGCGAGCCCGACCTCGGTGGTGGTATCCCGAGGTCGTCGTGGCGGATCAGAGGCAGTCGTCAGCTCGAGGTTGACGTGGTGTGTGCGCTGTGCAGGTGACGAGACTCTTCACGCCAATCATCTGCGCACAACTGCGAAGCAGGGTGCACTGCTGTCCTGCGTAAGCAACGCTGTCACGCCGTCAACCTGCGACGTTGGCACGCCGTCGACCTTGCCCTGCTGGAGCGCGGTCGACCAAGTCGTGCTGGAACGCGGTCGACCAAGCTGCGCTGGCAGTTGGCCAACCTGAATGCTTGCTCTGATGTAGTCTTGCTATGCCAACTTCATTGTATCATCATTGTTGTTATGTTTTCCTAGTGAAACTCTTGCAAATTCTCCCCGTGAACTAGCAAGGAGCGTGAACACAAGGAAACGACTAAGTGAACGAACGCAGAGATCACACGAGCACACGTGCCTAGCCCGCAGCCTAGCTCCCGTTGCTGCAGTTATCTCCGCATGGTGCGGTGAGCGTGGACGACACCGCGTCGTAGTTCAGTCTAGCCGACTTAGCACATACCGATCGTGTTCGTAGACCGGCAGCCGTGCAGTCATTAGCGTGCGCGTAGGCGACGCCGAGGTGATGGACACCCTGGAGGGACGGCTGGAGGATGCGAGGAGACGCCATGAGGCCCAGGAGTATGGGGCGATACCCTGGGCAGTCGTCGAAGCCGGACTCCGCTCCGTGTGGGCGACGGAGCATCCCCCTTCTCGACCTGCCTCTCCTCGACCGGTGAACAACGACGGCGGCGTCGATGTGGGCATCAACGCCAGTGGAGGTCAGGTCGGCAGCAGTGTGGGAGGCACGTCGAGGCAACGAGGTGTGATACACGTCGGTGAAGCCGGCGGCGTTCAGGCGCGAGGGATGCAGTCGTCGGCGGCTGCAGGTTCCTCACATGGTGACGCCGGTGGGTGTCGAAATGGGCTGTCGCCGATGTCGGCGTCCCAGGTGACGACAGGTGGGATTGCACCGAGCTACGGCTACTTCAAGTTTACGCCGGACAGGATCTCGGTCACCCCTCCGCTGGTCGGTCGACCCGACATTCTCACCTGGAAGGAAGCCATCGAGCCCCAGCTGGAGATGGCCGGGCTGATCGGCTTCGCCCGAGGGACCGTGGCGACGCCGGGGGAGCACCACCCCGACCTGCGTGCGGAGTTTCGTGCCGTGCAGTTGTTGACCTTCACGGTCATCTCGCGGTGCTGCTCGCCGGGCGTGCAGATCGCCTTGAAATGGTGCCGGGAGTACATCGACGCCGGCCACAGGGCGTGGCACTTCATTGAGTCGACGTACCAGGTCACCGACGACCTGTTCATCGCCCAGCTGGAGGGACAGCTGACGCACCTGTGTATGGGTGATGAGGAGACAGCGACTGACTACTACAACTGAGCCCGGCGAATTCTCGCCACTATCAGGATGGCCGGCGCGCAGTACTCCACTGCGTCGTAGATCACCCATGTCATGCAGGGTCTCTCTAGCAGCTACAACCTGCTGAAGCGGCTGTCTATGGCGCCGAGCACAAGGGCGCCGCTCAACGAGGACAACCTGACCTCATATATCCTGCAGGACGGGGCGATGCAGGAGGCTGAGCGGTCGTAGGAGCTCTTGGCGCAGGCGAACTTGGTCACCTCAGCGAAGCAAGGAGGCCGACCGGGGCAGCGCGGGCAGTCTGGCGGTGGTGGTAGCAGTGGCTGGAAGCCGGCCAAGGAGGTTGACAAGAAGAAGTCGACCAAGGACAGCAGTCGGGGCGGAGGAGGCCGACGTCGGGAATGCTGGCTGTGCGGCGACCCCGACCATCTATCCTTCGAGTGTCCCAACCGCAGTGACTCCGACGACGACGATGCTAAGGGAGGCCGTGGGAGGTCTGGCAACCGTCGTCCTCGTCGTGAAAGAAACCAGCCGCGCAAGGAGAAGCAGTTGACCAAGACATCGACTTTGGCGAAGGACGCCGACTCCCCTGCTGGCGGCAAGGGGCGAGACGACAAGACGGCGTCGTGCGCGCTGGTCGGCGTCGTGGAGCCGACCATCTCTCTGGCGCCGGAGGCCGGAGAGGACTTCCAGGCGGTGGCGGCAGCTGTGCAGGCGAACCCGGCGGTGGTCCTGCTCGACAGCGGTTGCTCCCACCACCTGATGGGGACGAAGGAAGCCTTCGTCAACCTGCAGCCGAGCGGCGCCATCAGGCATGTGCGCGGCTTCAATGGGGCGCTGCAGGATGTCCAGGGCTGCGGCACCGTCGCTCTGCAAGGAGAGGCCGGGACGGAGGTGCTCATCCCTGACGTGTTGTACGTCCCAGGTGTGCGAGCCAACCTGCTGTCAGCCGGCCAGCTAAAGGAGCATGGCGTGAAGCTGCAGGAGGACGGAGAGGGCATGCTGCTCGTCTCGGCAGCAGGGGAGGTGCTCGGGCGTGCAACGTACTCTGGGCGAGTCCTCTGCACCGACCTGCGTCCATGTGCGACGAAGTTGACGCCGCCCACGACGGAGGTTGTGGCTCTGCGGGCGATCGTCTCGAAGACTAAGTCGACGCCGGACCGGATGCATGCGCGGCTTGCACATGTCGGCATGGACACCATACGGAGCTCGGCGAAGAACGAGGTTGCTATTGGGCTGGACCTCAAATCGGCGACGGACGCCGACTCCCCGTGTGTCTCGTGCGTCGGCGGGAAACTGGCGCGGCACACCTTCCACGACCACGGCTCCGACGCCAACGACGTGCTAGCCGTCGTGCACATTGACCTGTGCGGGCCGTTTCGTGTGGCTGCCAAAGATGGCAGCCTGTACTTCTTGCTGCTGAAGGACCGCAAGACCCGCTACGTGTGGGTGAAGCCGGTCTCCAAGAAGTCAGATGCGTTGCAGGCCTTCGTCCAGTGGCTGGCGGTGGCTGAGCGGCAGACGAAGAAGTCTGTGTTGATGCTGCGCTCGGACCGGGGAGGGGAGTTCCTCGGGAAGCAGTTCACCGACTTCGTGAACAGCAAGGGGATCGTTCACGACCTGACCTGCCCATACACCCCGCAGCAGAACGGCATGGCGGAGCGGGAGATGAGGACGGTGGTGGAGTCGGTGCGGACAATGCTGCTGCACATGGGTGTGCAGCACCACTGGTGGCACCTCGCTCTTCGGCAGGCCGTCTGGGTCCGCAACTGCCTTGAGAGGTAGACGCTGCCACCGGGGACGACGCCGTACCAGCTGCTGACCGGGAGGAAGCCCGACTTGTCGCTAGCGCGGGTGTGGGGCTGAATGGCGCAGTTCCTTGTCCCTAAGCAGCAGTGTGGTGGAAAGCTGAAGCCGAAGGCCAGGTGGGGCCTGCACCTTGGCATGTCGGAGGCGAGCAAGGGCTGGGAGCTCCTCGACGTCGACACCGACCGAGTGGTCACCACGTCGGACGTGGTGTTCTACGAGGAGATGTCGCTGGCTGAGTGGAAAACGGAGCATGGGCCGGTGTCCGGCCGGTCGCCGTCCACCCCGCCCTCTGACACCTCGTCGGCGACGCTGCCGCTGCTAGCCGAGGTTGGTGAGCTTGCTACTGAGGACGTTGAGGGCGTCCACACCCCTCCACATCCTCTGACCCCTGCCCCTCCCCTCGTGGCCGACCTGCGTGGACTGACCTCGGTGTCGGCCTCCGGCAATGAGGGGAGTCGTGGGACGCCGCCTTCAGCGCCGGCCAAGTGCATCGCCGGTGGCCGACATGACGAGCGGCGAGTCGACGTGGGATTGCAATCGACAGGGGAGAAACAGGTCGGGGAGCAGGCTGCCGTGAAGCCGACCACGGAGCAGTCGGCGACCGGGCTGTCGGCAAGGGAGCCGACCACAGGGGAGAAGTCGGCTGAGAAGCCGACCACAGTGGAGCAATCGGTTGGAACGCCGGCTGCGGAACAGCAGGACGCCGAGGGCAGCGACGACAGCGACGATGGAGGGGATGCCGAGGAGGTCCAGCAGGGACCACGGCGTTCAGGCCGACTTCGGAGGCCGCCTGACTTCTTCGTCCCCGCTGCCTTCACCACGGTGTATGACATGGACGGTGATGAGGACCTGTTGTACGACGACGCCGAGGATGATGAGGAGTTTCCGGAGCTCGACCCCGACATGCTAGCCGACCCCGAGCACCGTTGGGACATCTCGACGATGACGGTGAAGGAGGCGTTGGCGAGCTGGAAGGGCCCGGCGGTGAAGGCCGCCATGGAGGAGGAGATTCGCAGCCTCATCAACATGGGCACTTGGGAGCTGGTCGAACGCCCGCCGGGGGTGAACGTCATGAAGAACCGGTGGGTGTTGACGACGAAGTACCACATCGACGACACCATCGAGCGAGAGAAGGCGAGGCTGGTCGTGAAGGGCTTCACACAGGTGTACGGCGCCGACTACGACGAGACGTTCGCGCCGGTGAGCAGCTACCTCACGTTGAGGATCTTCCTCAGCATCGTCGCTGTCCTCAACCTCAACCTGATGCAGCTCGACATGAAGAACGCCTTCCTGCAGAGCAAGCTCGATCGGGTACTGTACATGTCCCAGCTGGACTACTTCAACGATGGAACCAGCCGGGTGTGTAAGCTGCTGAAGAGCCTGTACGGGCTGAAGCAGTCGCCGCTGTTGTGGTACTTGGCACTCAACGATGTGCTGGTCGGCGCCAGATGGAAGAAGAGCCAGGTCGACGAGGCTCTCTACTTCAAGGTTGGCGAGGGTGGAGTGGCCTGCTGGGTGCTGGTCTACGTCGACGACCTGCTTGCCGCCAGCAGCAGCGCCGCGATGCTGAAGGAGCTGAAGGAGCTGCTGGAAGCTGCCTTCAAGTTGCGCGAGATCTCGCCGGTGCAGAAGTACCTCGGGCTGGAGATCGTGCGCGACAGGTCGGCGGGGAAGCTGTGGCTGCACCAGCAGGGCTACGCCGACAAGCTGCGTAGGCGCTTCCTCGACGAGGAGCAGACCGGGCGCACCCCGAAGACGCCGGTCTCGGTCGGTGCCTACGCCAAGCTCACCTTCGATGACGAGGAGGCGCAGGAACGGCAGGAGGAGGAGTACCGGCAGAAGGTTGGCTCGCTGCAGTTCGCGGCGACGACGACGAGGCCGGACCTCGCCTTCGCCTGCAGCAAGCTGGGGAGCGGCCTCACGGTGAGGAGCGACCAGCACTGGCGCGAGGTCGACCGCTGCCTCGCCTACCTCGCCAACACACGTGACACCGCCCTGGAGTTCGGCGGTGGACCTGAGTCGCTGGAGCTGGTCGGCTACGTAGACGCCGACGATGCCGGTGACAAGCAGAACAGGACTAGCACGGGCGGCTACGTGTTCGTCTACGGAGGGGCTGCAGTCTCCTGGTTGAGCCAGCGCATCAAGTGCGCGACGCTGTCGTCGACCGAGTCGGAGTACGTGGCGGCCACTAAAGCTGGCAAGGAGGGACGCCGCCTTCACTTCCTCCTCGCAGAATTCCGGCAACTGGACGACGAGAAGCCGACTGTCCTGCGCGTGGACAATAAGTCGGCCATCACGGTCGCCGAGGGCATGGGGTTGACGGGCAACCTCAAGCACATGGAGCGGCGACAGGCCTGGCTGCAGCACATGGTGAAGCGCGGGAAGTTCTCGCTGCAGTACATCCCAACCGCTGAGCAGCCGGCCAATTTCCTGACGAAGGCGCTGCACTATCCGGCCTTCAACCGGTGCTCCGTCGCAATCGGCCAAGTGCGCCTGGCAGACGTGGGCGACGGCAACAACGACGTGCAGCAGTAGGTGCCATGCCCTATTGCATGGCTGGTGCGGTGACCGGCGTGCTATGTGTTGGGTGCACGTCGACGAGCTAGTCTCCGAGCTGTACTGCCGTGTGGGCTGGGTGCCCAAGCGTAAACGCGGCAGGGGAGTGTCAACGGGAGTTGGGTATTGGCCCCGTCCTCGCTTAAGCGGAGCCGACTTCGTGGTCGGGTATGAGGGGAGCAGCCGACCTTCAGCAGTGGGTGAGCTGGTCGATGAGGAGGTCGACCTGCACGGGGGACCACTGCACGGGCGCCGACTTCAGGGTGGCGCCGACTTCAGGGAGGTCGACTTGGGAGTCGACCTCCGGAGGACGCCAACTTGGCGTAGCCGACTTCGGCGGTCGGCTAACGGACCGCAGGTCGACCTGTTAGTGGTCGACTGGACCTAGTGGTCGACGAAGGAGGGGCCGACGTTGACCTTGGCGCAGGACGCCGAGCAGTCAGGCGTCGAGTAGCGGGGCGTCAACTTCGTGACGCTAGCTTTGGGTGGCCGACGTGGGTGGTCGGCCGACGACTGTGCTGGTCGACGAGGAGCAGGTCGACCAGGAGTACTGGTCGACATGGAGCTGGTCGACCAGAGGGGACGTCGACCTGGAGGAGGTCGACGTGGAGGTGGTCGTCGACTTGGGAGGTCGACGGGCACGAACGGGAGCTGCTGGTTGACGTGGTTGCCTGGTCGACCAGGTTACCTGGGTGACGAAGTGCTGCGGAGGAGTGCGACGGTCGCCCAGGCGAAGTTGGCGAGCCCGACCTCGGTGGTGGTATCCCGAGGTCGTCGTCGTGGATCAGAGGCAGTCGTCAGCTCGAGGTTGACGTGGTGTGTGCGCTGTGCAGGTGACGAGACTCTTCACGCCAATCATCTGCGCACAATTGCGAAGCGGGGTGCACTGCTGTCCTGCGTAAGCAACGCTGTCACGCCGTCAACCTGCGACGTTGGCACGCCGTCGACCTTGCCCTGCTGGAGCGCGGTCGACCAAGTCGTGCTGGAACGCGGTCGACCAAGCTGCGCTGGCAGTTGGCCAACCTGAATGCTTGCTCTGATGTAGTCTTGCTATGCCAACTTCATTGTATCATCATTGTTGTTATGTTTTCCTAGTGAAACTCTTGCAAATTCTCCCCGTGAACTAGCAAGGAGCGTGAACACAAGGAAACGACTAAGTGAACGAACGCAGAGATCACACGAGCACACGTGCCTAGCCCGCAGCCTAGCTCCCGTTGCTGCAGTTATCTCCGCAGACCTCACCGCCGCAGCACCTTGGGCTGGCTTGCCTCCTCACCTGCAGCAGCCCCCCCTCCCGGCTGGCGTGCGACCTCACCGCCGCAGCACCTTGGGCTGCATTGCCTCCTCACCTGCAGCAGCCCCCCTCCCGGCTTGTCAATTCAGGGGTTGTGCACATTTAAACCCTTCTTCTGCTAAGGGGTTGTGTTAGATTATAGCATCAGTTGGGTTGTAAATGTGCAAGTGTAACACCCAAACATGGGTGTACACTTTGGGCCAAGGCGCCCCAACCAGTTTTGGTTGGGCGCGTCCCAACCCCACTCTGCCACAATTGGCGGGGGGAACCAGGCCCCCCAATAATTGGCAGCCACCTCCAAAACATTATTGGTGGCTACTCCCATTGGCTAACCAATAATGTTGCGGGTACCCAGCCTAGGTCTTCCACTTCTCATCTCTTATATGTACCCACCATCTTTCTAATCAAACCAACTCTTGAGTTCACCTATCATCCCAACTATGGGATTCTCACAAGGGGGGCGATGCGCGGGCCCCCAGGGCGCCGCGGCGGGCGACGGGCAGGGCAGCGCGCGGGCCCCGGGACGCTTTGATGGGCGACGGGAAGGGAGGTGGCGCGCGGGCCTCCGGGACGCCGCGGCGGGCGACAGGAGGGGACAGGGCGCGGACCCCCGGGGCGTCGCGTCGGGCTACGGGAGGGGACAGCGCGCGGTCGCCCGGGGCGCGCAGCGGGTAGGAAACCGCCACACGCCCGAGCGCGTGGCGGGCAGCGGGAAGAAAAAACGCCGTGCGGCAGGCAGAAGACGTCGCGTGCCCGAGGCGCGCGAAAGGTAGTACAACAGTGGAAGCGGGTGGGTCCACAGACCGGGAGCGATCTCACTCTGATAGCATGTCAGAACAGTAGCTATAAAGTTAGAACAGAAGAAGAGGGTTTCATTAGCAAACAATAGGATACATATAGCAAACCCTAACAAGGCTGTACTCACTATAAAGTACCCCACTGCACACTAGAGAAATATAACATTCTGACAGGAAGGAATCTCAAAACCTACGCGAGGACCTGAACCTCAGTCATGGTTGTACACATGTATTGCCAGTGGCACTATAACGAGCACGATTCCTTTTTCTGGGCTAGATATATGTATATATAAACGACACAAACAGAACTGGCTTAAACTCAATTCACAATCTCCTGTCATACACCAAGAAAAAACATAGCCAATCAAAAAAGAAGGATAAGATAGACTTTTACGTTAAAAGATCAGGAGAATGTGAAAAATGTTTTAATGCTCCAGCAAGACAGGCCAAATCCCTGTCCAGCCGTTTCTCACTCCCAAGGCCAGCTGGCAACCGCGTCACCCCCAAGGCCAGTTGGGACCGATGTCATCGAAGCCGGTATCGTCGTCAACGCCGTGGCATTATTAGCAAAAACGTTACCGGCAAAACCACGACCAGCAAAACCACCGGCAAATGCATTGCCGGGGAAAACGTTTCTCCCAGATCCAGCAGCTGCCATCACAACCCTCTCTAACTCCACCACCCGTCGCTCCAATGCATCTACATACCCCACTGCTCTATCCAGCATTGCGCATGTGTCCCCTCGCCCCCGCACCTTCGCCCTCAGCCTCTGCAGCCCCTCGCTGATCCTCTCCCTCCTCCGCCGCTCCGCCATGCTCCTGCTCTTGATCCTCTTATTCGGCACTGAACCTGTCCTTACGCCCTGGCACCGAGGCAACCACTCGTCGTCCGTGCCACACTCGTCTTGCATGGTGCCGCGCTCTCGGCCCTTGGGATTATCCAGGGCATCTGAGCCCCACTCGGCCTGTTGCCCCATTCGTCTTGCAGGTACCGCTTCCCCTAAGTCTTCATCAGACTGCCACTGACCCATGCCATCCATTTCCTCCATGCCTTGCATGCCATCTCGCATGCCCTCTCGCATAACTTCTGTGCCTTCTTCCCCACCCTCTTGCCCACTGCTGCTGGTTGCCTGACCGCCAGCCGAGCCTGCACCACCCATGCCGGTGCCTGCCGAGCCTGAGCGCGCCGAGCCTTCACCGGCCGTGCCTGTGCCCGCCGAGCCTGCACTGCCTCAAGAGCGCTGATTTCTGGCCTCCGGTGACAGAGGCTGTGACGCTTGCTCACACCTCTGCTGCTGCTGCTGCTGCAGTGGCTGTTGCTGCTGCAGCCGCTGCTGCTGGAGCAGGAGGTGCATGTGCTGCCCTGCTGCCACCGCCATGCTGCCGTGAAGAGGAGACAAAGTAGGGTGTGCCGGTGCTGCCCCCACTGCCGCTGCCCCCACTGGCGCTGAGTCTGCATCCTTTAAGAGCATGCCATCCAGCACACCACTCTGGTTCGCATGGTCAAGCACGCTGCGGCTGTAGCAGCCGGCGGGGGTCTGCATGCCGTGTTGCCACTGGGGAGCGGCTGTAGCGCCGTCATCCAGGGCGTCAGGGCTTCTTCTCTTCCTCCCAACGTTGCCAGCATTCGTTGTCCCAATGTTCACAGCAGCTCCACCGCTGAAAACGCCACTGTTGATGCCACGCATTGGGTTAAGACGAATCTCATTACTTAGAGCACTGGTGAGGCTCTTGTCAACACCACGCAGTGAAAAATAGACGTCATTCCCAACACCACGCAGTGAAAAATCCGGGTCAGTCCGAACACCATTGCCAATACCACTGGCGATACCGCTGCCACCACCACTGCTGCCACTGCCGCCGCTCCTCTCCCCTCCCCGCCCGTCCATGCGTCCCATTACACCTACATCGTGGAGGTCAGGACTTGCTCCCGCGAGAAAAGGCGAGCTAGCTAAGAGCCGGTGCTCCTCATTCCTTCCTTCCTGCTCCTGCTGCTCAGGCTGCTGCTGCTGCTGCTGCTGCTGCTCCTGTTGCTGCACTTGCGGCGACTGAGGGTTTCCTGACAACCCTTGACCTCCCATCGCCCTCTGCCGCCTCTGCCGCTTCCGTGCGTTCTGCCTCAGCTTCTGCTGCGGCTGCTGCTGCGCTTCCTGCGCCTGCTGCTCCTCCACCTGCTTCAGCGCCAGCAGGAGAGCTAACAGCTGCCGCCTCTCGGCCTCGCTGCCTGCTCCCATCTGTAGAGTCGCCATCACACGGCTTGACAGCACCGCCTGCTCTCTCCTCGCCTTCTCCCTCCTTGCCTCTGCGGCTGCTGCTGCTACAGCTGCTGCTGCGACTGCAGCTGCTACTGCTACTGACTTCTGAGTCGCCTCAAGAGACACCTCCTCTCTCCTTGCCTTGGCTGCTGCTGCAGCCGCTTGCAGCGGCGGTGTGCGAGCTGCAGGCGCCGGGACTCGCTCGTTGGGGACGGGAATAACGGCCGCGGAGTTCATCAGTGTGAAGTGCTCATTCTCTTGCTCCTGGTTGGTATGACTCGGGTTCTGGTTCTGGTTCTGGTTCTGGTTCTGGTTCTGGTTCTGGTTCTCATAGCTTCCATCATCCTCAGGTAGGCCGCTGCTGCTGCTGCTGCTGCCCACCGCGTTTCCACCGTTCCAGTGCTGCAGCGCTTCTTGCTGCTCCTCTGCTTGCTGCTGCCACGCCGCCTGCTGCTGCGCTGCTTCCTGCTGTCGCAGCGAGCATGCGAGCTTAGAAAGGCCAACCAACATGCGCTCTAGCTGCACCTCCCCGCCCGCCGCTCCTCGCATCATAGCAGCAGCAGCAGCAGCTTCAGAAGCAGGCCCTGTCAGCCCTGTCAGCCCTGTCAGCACTCCCAGCCCAACTTCCGCGGCCGCTTCACCAGCCACCTCCTCGCCGCCCACAGCGGTCATCTGAGGCTTGGCAAGAGGCTCGTTTAGCGGTTCGGAGCGAGGTTCAGCGTGTAGCACAAATCCCTCCTCGGGAAAGCCGCGGGGGCCGATTGGGGACCAGCCGAAGCGGCCTTTATGCTCCGAGTCGGGGAGAGGACTCTGAGAAACCGGCGCAGCCGGCGGCGGCGGGAGAGTGGCATGCAGCGAAGCGAGCGGCGAAGGGAGGTCGTCCAATGAGAAGAGAGCAGCGGCAAGGGACTCTGACGTCCCTCCGTCCGGTGCGGCGATGGTCGCGCTGCTGTTAGTCGGCAGGGTAGTAGAAGTGCTGTGACTCGCCATGATCATAGGTTGGATAGCTGGCGGGTAGGAGGCTAGTACAACTTGTTTTGCAGTAACAAACGGCTTCAGGCGGCTCACAAAGCTGTGAGCTCAGCCGGGGGTTGCTCGTAGCAGAGTTGGAGTGAGCGGCGAGAAGTTTGGCCAGACACGTGGTCACCACGTGTATCAGTGGTGATAGCTTGTGGTAAACTGTCGTGGTTGTGAGGAGCCTATTTTCTACTTCTGCGGAGGGGTTGTGAAGACTCGGAGTCGGAGCTTCTGGATGGCGTTAATATGGCGTTTTGAGACGTCTAAGGTTAAGACTCAGCTGTGTCCGGCGGGCCGCGGATGATGGGCTGTGACGAGTGTTGGATGGCGTTGGATTGGTGGGCCGCGAACGGGCGACAATGTAACGCGACACGTCAAGAGTTAAGACTTGAAAAAGTCAGCAGACGTGATTGCAAACTATCAATTCAGACAAGTAGCTTCTTGAATGCTGAGGGAGATAGCTGGGGATTCGTTAACAATGGAGGAGGATTGGAGGAGGATTCGTTGACGATGGAGGCCCTTCGAAATGTGGATCTGGTGAAGAAAGAAACCCTTCACTTGAGAAATAGTAATCAGAGGAGCGTTACTACTAGAGCTCGACTGATCTGATTCGGAACGATCGCGCGAAAAACCAGCCCACTCGCGGCGCCGACATGAGCTGGAGGAGAGAGAGAGTGAGTGGGAGCTGAGAGTGAGGAGGAGCGCGGGAAAGGCGTATGCATGGAAAGTGAGAGTCCGGGGGCCGAATCAAATCGTTACGAGAGGCGGACAGCACGACTTGGTCGTAACACAGCGCGTTGCTGTTATCGCGGCGCCATCCGGCCATCGTGTAGCACTTCCGGCGGCTCACACAGGCAGAGCAAGTGCCATCGGGCTGTGCTGTGACGGACAGTGGTTGTTTTTGACGGCAGTCAACCGCCATCGCGTGGGAGCCACACAAGGCGTACGATCACATGATGTCGTGGCCCCCACTCTCCCACCCATCTCGTCGCATCCAGTCTGTAGTGTACTACCTATCAAGGCAAGTCGCATTACAGGTACTACAGTCTGACATCTGGGGCGAACACGTTCGCCCCTTGCTCACCCCTACCTGTCCCCATGCCCGATGCCCCATGTGCTGTCCTCCCCTCTATCTCATCAGGACATTCTCGAGTTCTCTGGCGAGTACCCCCTGGCAGGTGCAGCAGTGCACATCATCACCAACAGCATCCTTTTCCCCTGCTCCATGCCCCATCCTTCCCCATACTCCTCCCTCCCACCTACAGGACATTCTCGAATTCTTTGGCGAGTACCCTCTAGCTAAGGCAGCAGTGCACATCATCACCACCAGCATCGGCCGTCTCACACGGGAGGCCTTTGTGGAGTTCGGCTCTACAGACGAGGCGAGAGCGGCGCTGGGCAAGGACCGGGAGCGCATGGGAACAAGATACATCGAGCTCTATTTGTCGTCGCGGGATGAAGCGACAAGGATAGCCACGCGGGCAAGCACTCAGTTGATGAGGGGGAAAGGAGGGAGGGTGGGAAGGGTAGTGGGACAAGGGGGGTGTTGCGAGGTACGGGCAGCTCTGAGCAAGGACCGCGAGTGCATGGGCACAAGATTCTTAGAGCTGCATGTGTCGTCAGGGAATGAAGCGACATGGATTGCCACTAGGGTCAGCACCAGGGATGAAAGTATGAAGACAGCACTTCCCGCCATCATTCCCTGCATTTGATGCTCTCCTGACTTGCCAGCCCAACCACTCCTGGTTCTTGTGCCTAGCAGACCCCCTGCACCACCCCATTCCCTGTTGCTTACCTTGCCCCGTACCATACCTCCCACCTTGCCCACTTATACCTCGTACCATACCACGACATTGTTCCTACCCTACTAAAAGTCCTAGGCATCGTGGCCTGGCGAGAAAATTGGCGTCACAGAATGAACTAGCTACTGCTATGTCTAATCTTGTCACAGTGACTATGATTGCTACAAATGTAGCACCCTTGGTCACGCTTCGTCCATCTTCCCTTCCCTCTCTGTAGCTGCTCACATAAAAAACATCAGGTGACATGCAAGGGAATGAACTGAGAATGGATAATTGTTGGTCCAAAATGACGATACACAAAAAGAGTGTTCCTGCATGGCAAAGAGTGCAATGACGTGAATGAACAAAGAAGGAATGACAACAGCAATGAGCAGCAAAATGCAGAGTGCGAGCGCCTCTGAGCACTTGTGAGCAGGGGAGTAGGAGAGAAGGAAATTTACATGCTTATCAAAAGGACAAAGAACCATCTTCCTTGACTGTGTTTGTGCTGCTCTTCCAAGGATCTGTGCCAGCCTGTGCAGACCTGGGAAACAGGGTGGGAGGAAGAAGCATGGGTGGGAGTAAGGAGCAAGGGTGGGAGGAAGGAGCATCGGTGGGAGCGAGGAGCATCCGTGGGAGGGAGAAGCATGGGTGGGAGTGAGGAGCACGGGTGGGTGTAGAGAGGCATGACCCATGAGCGCTGGTAGAGATGTGGGTCCAGCCCAGCCCAGCCCCTGGGACGGCAGCAGGCCCACCCACCACCACCACACGTCTTCACTGGCACTGCATCGCCGCTGCTCCCCCACAAACAATGAGCCATCCAAAGAAGGGCCTGGATCAGAGGAGAAGGTCGACTCACAGAAAGGAGAAGCGTCGACTCACAGGAACGAGAAGCATCGACTCACTCAAAGGAAAAGCATTGACTTACTGAAACATGAGGGCGTTGGCTCATTGGAAGGACAAGAGCTGACCCACTGGAAGGAGAGAGAGCTGAATAACAGGAAGGCGAGGGCGATGGGTGACTGGAAGGTCAGGAGATTGACTTACAGGTGAAAAACGGAAAGGTGAGTCACTAGAGAAGCCACGTAGCTAGCAGTTGAAGTGCCACCCACAGATGCTGTCCCGTACTCCCTCCCTCCCCTCCCGCACTAGCGCTCGCTCTGCATCCGCCCCTGCTGGAGCAACTGGTGTTGCCAGTGTGCCACTCAGCTTCCTCTGCTGCATCATGAGTGGCCTGAGGGGAACGGGCAGGGCGGAGGGAATGGAGCAGAGTGGAGGGGAACGGGGGCAGGGCGGAAGGAATGGGGCACAGCGGAAGGAATGGGGCAGGGCAAAACGGAATGGGGCAGGGCGGAGGGAAGGGCAGAAGGCGAGTGAGTGCAGGCCAAAAGACAGGCACGAGATATGTAAGAACATTAGCAAGAAAGACTTAACACAGAATGGAGGAAACTGAGGGGTGAGGGGGAGGAGGGAGGGACGGGGGGAAGGAGGCACACAGCAAAAACTGAAACCAGAGAGAAGGATGGGAAGTGGGAGGGGTGGAACTGAACTCGAAGCAAATGAGCACATGACAGCAAGGCATGGGAGGGGTGGAGAACGGTGTTTTCGATGTAGAACTGGAAAAAGTGGCACACCTCGATAGGTCACGGCCAGCCCCATACTCTCCCTGGTACAAGCGCTGCCTCCCTGCAGTGGAAGGTCCTTCTGCAGTGGAAGGTCCTTCTGCAGTGGAAGGTCCCTCTGCAGTGGAAGGTCCCTCTGCAGTGGAAGGTCCCTCTGCTGTGGAAGGTCCCTCTGCAGTGGAAGGTCCCTCTGCAGTGGAAGGTCCCTCTGCTGTGGAAGGTCCTTCTGCAGTGGAAGGTCCCTCTGCAGTGGAAGGTCCCTCTGCAGTGGAAGGTCCCTCTGCTGTGGAAGGTCCCTCTGCAGTGGAAGGTCCCTCTGCAGTGGAAGGTCCCTCTGCAGTGGAAGGTCCCTCTGCAGTGGAAGGTCCCTCTGCAGTGGAAGGTCCCTCTGCAGTGGAAGGTCCCTCTGCAGTGGAAGGTCCCTCTGCAGTGGAAGGTCCCTCTGCAGTGGAAGGCCCCTCTGCAGTGGAAGGTCCCTCTGCAGTGGAAGGTCCCTCTGCAGTGGAAGGTCCCTCTGCTGTGGAAGGTCCCTCTGCAGTGGAAGGTCCTTCTGCAGTGGAAGGTCCCTCTGCAGTGGAAGGTCCTTCTGCAGTGGAAGGTCCTTCTGCTGTGGAAGGTCCCTCTGCAGTGGAAGGTCCCTCTGCTGTTCCACAAGCTCTCCAGATGGCGGGCAAAGCGAGCTCTCTGCTGCCCACTACACTCTCGGTTGCTGCTGCTGCTGCTCCTTCTGCTGCCACAGTGAGTGGGATGCAAGGAACAATTGGGGGAGGGAAGGAAATGTGGAGATAGACAGACAAGTGAGAGTGAAGCTGAGGAGTGAATGGCATGCAGAGCATTGAAGGAGTGAGGCGAAGAGGATAAGAGGGGTAAATGACGGAAGGACATACCACATCACAAGTCTTCTCCCTCGACTCTGCTCCCTCTTGTCTGCTCTCTGTGCATAATCCGTGGCTTCTGAACATCTGAGACAGTGGCAGATCAACAACTCATACTGAGTTGAAGTGGCAAGAGAGCAGAATGCGAGTATAGGAACAGAGGGACGATGAAATAAAAGGGCGATGGAGACGATGGAATGAAAAGGCAAGGGAGATCTTACCAGGTCTGCTGAAGCAACCTCTTGTCCTCTGTGTTTCCTCTCCTCCTCTACTTCCTCTCCTCCTCCTCTACTTCCTCTCCTCCTCCTCCTGTACTTCCTCTTCTCCTCCTCTACTTCCTCTCCTCCTCCTCCTCCTCTACTTCCTCTTCTCCTCCTCTACTTCCTCTCCTCCTCCTCCTCTACTTCCTCTTCTCCTCCTCTACTTCCTCTCCTCCTCCTCCTATACTTCCTCTTCTCCTCCTCTACTTCCTCTCCTCCTCCTCCTCCTCTACTTCCTCTTCTCCTCCTCTACTTCCTCTCCTCCTCCTCCTCTACTTCCTCTTCTCCTCCTCTACTTCCTCTCCTCCTCTTCCTCTACTTCCTCTTCTCCTCCTCTACTTCCTCTCCTCCTCCTCCTCCTCTACTTCCTCTTCTCCTCCTCTACTTCCTCTCCTCCTCCTCCTCTACTTCCTCTTCTCCTCCTCTACTCCTCTCCTCCTCCTCCTCTACTTCCTCTTCTCCTCCTCTGCTTCCTCTCCTCCTCCTCTGCTTCCTCTCCTCCTCCTCTGCTTCCTCTCCTCCTCCTCCTCTACTTCCTCCTCTCCTCCTCTGCTTCCTCTCCTTTCCCTCCACGTGGATTGTCCTCTGCTCCTCTGCTCCGCTGCTCACTGTTCTTCATGCTAAAACAATCCTAGAGCTACAACTCACGAGTAAAGTGACACAGATCACAGCCTACAGCCTACAGCCTACAGCCTGCAGCCTAACAGCCTGCGAGATACATAGAGATACAGCCAGCAGCCTACAGCCAACAGCCTACAGCCAACAGCCTACAGCCTGCAAGAGTTACAGCAGATCAAGCTTATCTTGACAACTCACAAAGTTAACCTTTCTTCATTCTTTCCATTCTGCTAATTTTCATTGCTTGCTTGTTCATTATCCCTTTCTCCATGGATCAGGGTTAGGTGCTGCCCTGTAGTCAGAGTGGGGTTAGCGTACCTGTAGTTAGGCGCTGCCCTGTAGTCAGAGTGGGGTTAGCGTACCTGTAGTTAGGCGCTGCCCTGTAGTCAGAGTGGGGTTTCCCTGTGGTTATTGGGTGTGGGTCTTGGGCTAGAGAATTGGGTGGTTCGATGGGTGGGTGGGTGGGTGGATGGGTTAGTGGGTGGAAGGGAGGGGAGGGGGGGTTGGGAGGGGGACGGGGAGCGAAGGCAAGGAAGGCAGGCAGGGTGAAGTGCCACTTTGCATGTGCCATCACCCTCACTAGCAGCACCAGCGCGATCAGCACCATAGGACGGACCCGCCCCCACCATCGCACCATCCCACCCCCATTGAGTCTGGGTTGCTGGAATGAGATGGGTAAACGGAAGGAGATCAGTAAAATGAGGGGGGGGAAGGAGCAGGAAGGGGAGGTAAAAGAGGAACGGAGTGGAAATGGAGCAAATGCAGGGATCAAGGGGACAACAGGAGTATTGAAGCAAAAAATTATGAATGCATGAATGTGAAACTAGTGCGCAAACCAGAGGCTGGATGGGCCACAGCTGTGTCGAGCTTCGCTCTTGAAGTGTTGGCTCCCGGAGTGTTGCTCCTGAGTGTTTTACTCCTTTTGACCTGGAACCAGGGCATGGGCTGGTGAGAGGGAGAAAAAAGGATACGGAATGCAGAAAACTGGTCCAGGGATGGAAGAAAGGAGTGAAAGAAAATTACAAGCAACAAATGAAGCAGCGGCAGGCAAAACTGGAAGAATTCAAAAGTGAAACCAAGGTGGAAGGATGCAATGGAAACAGAGAGGCGATGGTAGCCCATGGCACTAGGTTGGCGAGCTAGCAGGCAAGGGGGACGAGGTAAGAAGGAGACGCGGGCGTGAGTGTGAGTGCATTCTAGCCCCCTAGAACTCTAGTGTGAGCTCAAGCCGCCCTAGTGCCATGTGCTACCATCACCACGCGAACGTTTTTTATACCTTCATGCGAAGGCGGCGTTTTGGTTCGAAGCATGCTTGAAAAGAGAGCTGGGCAATTGTGAACACGAATTACAAGGTAAAGCGGCTGTAAGGATGGCAAGGCTTGAGGAGGGAACTTAGCGGGATTCAGAAGCTGCTCGTCGCTTTGCTTATGTCAGCAGCAACACTCCCAGCAGCAGCACTCCCAGCAGCAGCCCTCCCAGCAGCCCTCTCAGCCAGCAGTAGTCCAGCAGTGGTCTGCTCGCCGCGCCATGCATTTCCGCACACCGATTTCGCTTGACGCGTTCCCGCGCTCCAATCACGCCCCATACTCTCCCTAGTAGAAGCGCTGCCTCCCTGCAGTGGAAGGTGCCTCTGCTGTGCCACAAGCTCTCCGAAAGGCGGGCAAAGCGAGCTACCTGCAGCCCACTACGCTCCTGGTTGCTGCTGCTGCTGCCTCTGAAGCCACAGGGGGGGGAGGTTGGAGGAACAGGGAGAAGCGGAGGCATGCGACAAGATCTGGAGCAAGCAAGACGCACGGGAAGGTGCAGGAGAGCAAACGAGTCAAAAGCAGAACGGCATGCGCGGGGTTGGGAGGAGTGTGGAGGCGAAGGGAGTGTGGCGAATGGCAGCCCGTGGCAGTTTGGCAGCGAGCGAGCTTGCAGGGGGGGACTGAGGAGGAGGAGGACGCGGGCATGAGGATGAATGCATTCTATTCTACCCCCCTACAAGTCTACCTACATGCGCTCAGCTGCCTTGTGCCACGGCACCATCGCCACACTCCTTTAAGATGTCGTTTTAACAAAAGTGCGTCAAAGAAATACCAGGAAGGGAATATTTGCACGCTGCGCGCGGACGACAGGCTTCGCTGCTCCATCGACGCTCTCGTCCGTCGCTCGTCACTGAGGCGCGTCGCTCGCCGTTCGTCGCCCGCAGCTACTTTCTGATAAGTCCGTCGCTCATCACTGAGGCGCGTCGCTCGCCGTTCGTCGCCCGCAGCTACTTTCTGATAATTCCGTCGCTCCTCACTGAGGCGCGTCGCTCGCCGTTCGTCGCCCGCAGCTACTTTCTGATAAGTCCGTCGCTCGTCACTGAGGCGCGTCGCTCGTCGTTCGTCGCCCGCAGCTACTTTCTGTTAAGTCCGTCGCTCATCACTGAGGCGCGTCGCTCGCCGTTCGTCGCCCGCAGCTACTTTCTGCTAAGTCCGTCGCTCGTCACTTAGGCGCGTCGCTCGCCGTTCGTCGTCCTCGCGCGTCGTTCCTCGCTGGTCGCTCGGTCGCTATGGCGGACGGACGGGACGGCTCGTTGTTGTCGTCCGTCACTCGTCGTTCGTTTCTCGTCCTTCGCTGACCGTTTTCCGTCGCTCGCCATCACTAATTGTTCGCTGCTTTGTCGTCCGTCACTCGTCGTCCGCTGCTCGTCGTCCGTCAATCGCCATTCGTCTTTCGACGTTTCGCTGCTTGTCGTCCGTCACTCGTCGTCGCTGCTCGGAGGTCATCGTCCGTCGCTCAGAATCGTGCTCCTTCACCGTCGTAGTTCCCGCTCGTCGCCGTTCGCGAAAGGAGTTCTCAAGGTGCCCGAATCGCCTTGTCGTTTGCCGTCGGTCGAATCTTAATCGCCTTGTCGCGTCGGTCGAATCTTAATCGCCTTGTCGTTTGCCTTACAACTGAGCCATCGCTGCATTCGAATCGTAATCGCCGACGCTTGAGAGCTGATGTCGACGCCAGCGAACGCGACGACTCGCGCCCGTGAGCAGCACGCTTCACCAAGATGCGACGACTCCAGACGGCGACGATCAAGCTGCGACGACTCCAGACGGCGACGATCAAGCTGCGACGACTCCAGACGGCGACGATCAAGCTGCGACGACTCCAGACGGCGACGACCAAGATGCGACGACTACCGTGTGCAGGACGCGATTGACAGAATCCGACATCTCTCGCCTTGAGCCGGACGAGATTCAGCTGAATGCGACGATTTCACGAAGACGAGCGTGACAGGAGCGTAATGGAGTATGAAATACTGCTATTCTTGAAATTGCTACCGTCGCTTCTCCCAAGTAATAGTGGTCGTGGAGGTCTACTGCTTCACCATCAGGTTCGTTACGCCTCAGAGTAATAAACTGATCGCGTTTGTCGTGTCACTATCGCCGTCAAGAATAGCTTTTTATCAAGCACGCCGATAATTGACTCTCTTGATCGATCGTCGCCGTCGTACACACCCCGTCAACGACAAGCATAACTAACGGCTAGTCACTGGGATAGTAAGCTGCCATGGCTAGTCACTGGGATAGTAAGCTGGCTGAGGCAATTGCTAGGTAATGAGGGAGAAGGGCCAGGAAGGCGGAAGGAGCAAACAATCCCTTCCGCTGCTCATGGGTTGCCAAACAGGCGGAACATTCTCGTTATCAGTTTCGCGAGGTGGATCTCGACGAAAGGATTACCCTTTCGCTGCTGGGAAACCATCTTCTGACGAAAAGGCGGGAAATCGGTTCGTCTATCCATTGCCTCACGATCAAAGGCGAGTGGTTCCTCGGCCCAAGGCAGTAGGTGTCGCAAGGGCCAGATACATGCCAGTAAGCTTGATACATCTTGTGTGAACTGTACATTTTGTTCAGTAACTGAGCTTACTTTCATATGGCCCATGTAAACACATAAGGACCTAATGAAATAATATAGACTTACCGTACTGCCATGCCAAGGTGTTTTCGCACACTCACCCCGTCCACTGACCAGCCATGCCCCACTCACTCCCAAGGCCAGCTAGCAACACCGTCACTCCCGAGGCTAGTCGGGACCGATGTAAATGCAGCTGGTAAAGAACTCAGTGCCGCGGAATCAGTAGCAAAAGCATTTCCAGCAAATCCAAAACCGGCAAACGCAGTGCCGGGGAAAACATTTCTCCCAGACCCAGCAGCTGTCATGATAGCCCTCTCTAACTCCAGCACTCTTCGCTCCAAAGCATCTACATACCCCACTGCTCTATCCAGCATCGCGCATGTATCTCCTCGCCCCCTCACCTTCACCCTCAGCCTCTGCAGTTTCTCGCTGATCCTCTCCCTCCTCCGCCTCTCTGCCATGCTCCGGCGCTTGATCCTCTGGTTCGGCGCCGAGCCTGTCTTGTTGTCTTGGCACCGAGGCAACCACTCGTCGTCCGTGCCACATTCGTCTTGCATGGTGCCGCACTCTTCATGTTGCACGTGGCCCTTGGGATCATCCAAAGCATCGTCCGTGCACCACTCCTCGTGCGCATCGCATGCGCGGCCGTTGGTCTCGCTCTCGTATCTCTCCGCACGCTCATCCCGGGGCGACCTTTGAGTCGACTTGAAAGTTACACCACTCTGGTGCTCCCTTGTGCACACGCCTTCCAGCACACCACTCTGGTTGACCCTCACATCTGGCACCGGGATATGAGGATCAACAACCATGGCAGCGCCCAGGATAGACGACCCTATCCTCTGGGAATGCGAGGGTTCCTCTGGGTTCAGCTGAACAAATGAAGCACTGGCCGGCCCGAGTGCGCTCCGGCTGTAGCAGGCACGGTGGGTCTGCCTGGTGTGCTGCTGCGGCGTGTGAGCGGCTGTAGCGCAGCCAGAGGAGGGGCCTCCTGGGCGGTCTGGGGTTTTCCTCTTCTTTCCGGCATCGCTCGCTGCGTTGGTGCCGGTGCTGCTGAAAACGCTCCTGCTGATGCCATGTGGTTCCACCTTCACGTTGCTATTGCAGATCCCATTACTCATGGCACTGCTGGGGTTGGCACAATTGCCATGCAGAGAAAACCCAGGGTCACTGCCACCACCACCGCTGCCAGGGTCACTGCCACCACCACCGCTGCCACCACCACTGCCGCTCCTCTCCCCACGGCGGCCCCCCGTGTGCCCACACCCGCCTCCTCCGCCATGAGCCAATCGCAGAGCGCCATCTGGAGCGTATCTGGGAGCAAACGTGGAAGCAAGGGCGGACTCCACTTGCTTCGCCGATCTTCCAGCATCCGGAAGAGCCGCGAAGGCTGAAAGCCACTGCTTCTCCTGCCCTCCTTCCACCTGCTGCCGTTGCTGTTGCTGCTGCTGCTCCTGCCGCTGCTGCTCCTGCTGCTCCTGCCGCTGCTGCTCCTGCTGCTCCTGCCGCTGTTGCTCCTGCCGCTGCTGCTCCTGCCGCTGCTGCTCCTCCTGCTCCTGCCGCTGCTGCTCCCCCTGCTCCTGCCGCTGCTGCACTTGTGACGCTTGGGGAACCCTTGGCTGCTCTTGATTCACCGCCCTCTGCCCCTTCCTCCGCTTGCATAGGCTCTGCTTCTGCTTCTCCTCCTTGTCCTCCTCCTTCTCCGTCTGCTTCTGCTTCTGCTGCTGCTTCCGCCTCAGTTGCTGCGACAGATTCCCCTCCTCCTCCTGCTTGAGCGCCTGCAGGAGAGTCATGAGCTGCTGCCGCTCGTCCTCGCTGCCTCCACCCATCTGCGCCATCGCCATCACACGGCCCGACAGCACCGCTTCCCCTCCCTCTGCCTCTGCCTCTGCCCCTGCCTCTGCTTTTGCCTCCGCCTCTGCCTCTGCCTCTGCCTCTGCCTCTGCTTTTGCCTCTGCCTCTGCCTCTGCCTCGGCCTCTTGCTGCTGTGCTTGCTGCAGTCGTAGGAAGCGTGCAAGGTGCGACAGCCCAGCCAGCATGCGCTGAATCTGTTCCTCCCCGCTCGCCTCTTGCACAGCAGCAGCAGGAGCAGGAGCACCAGGAGCAGCAGCAGCAGCAGCAGCAGCAGCAGCAGCAGCAGCAGCAGCAGCACCACCACCACCAGCAGGCTTGTTCAAGTCCCCCAACACCTCCTCCCCATCCCCTCCACTCATCCCCTCTGACGCTCCTCCTCCCCCAGGCCCGCCCACACAGGTCATCAGCGGTTCAATCACAGGATGAGCCATGAAAGATTCGAGCTGGGGATCCCTCAGAGGCTGCCTGTGCTGCAGTGCGGAAGAGGGCTGTATGTGCTGCAGTGCGGAGGAGGGTTCTACGATGTGCGGCTCTCCCTCGCGCGAGCGAGGCCAGCCGCGCGGCAAGACGCGCCCTCTGGGTCGCTCCGGGATCGAACGCTGCGAAGCCGGCGGCGCCGGGAGCGGTGCGAGCAGGGAGGAGTGCGGCAGCGGCGCGAGCGGCGATGGGAGGTCGTCGAATGCGAAGAGTGCGGCAGCGAGAGAATCCGACGGCGTCTCTTCGTCGGTGGTCGTGGTGGTGGTCGTGGTGGTGGTGGTAATAATGGTAGTAGCACCTGTCTCGTCGCTGTCGACCACCAAAGTGGTAGCGCCGTTGCCATCGTAAGCCATCTTCATAGAGTAACGTTGCTTCGGCCTTGTAGGCCCAGAGCAAGCTGCTGCTTTGGGTGGTTGAACTGGACGCGGCTCGGTTTTGCAGGGCTAGCTGGCGATGGTGGTGGTTTCACAATAGTGGTACGATGGAACCGAGCAGTACTAGTAGCAGGTAAAGCCTTTGCGATCTTTCAAGGAATAATGGAACTCAGCCTGTGAACAGACCCTTTTTGAAGGTAGAATGGGAAGCGGACGATGATGCGAGGAGAGCTATCAGTGACGACAATGCATCACTTCTGGCGTCAGTACAACAAACCCTCTTCGAGAAATCAGTACAACTGGCGTGAAAAGAACAACAAATGCGGGGAAACAAACCCTCTTCGAGAAATGCTACTACTTTTGGAAGGCTTTTGGATTTGAAACGCTTGCTTGCTTTGTGATCGTCGATCCGATTTGACCCGGATTGTGCGAAACTAATACCAAATCGCCGGGCATGTGAGAGAGTGCGACGGTGGGGGGGTAGGCGCTGGCGAATGGATCGCATCGTAACGAGCAGCCGACATTCTTTACCGCATTCGTTGCGATCGCCGCGTCGCCATCCCACAATTGCGCGCGCCACGAGCTCTCGCTGTGACGAGCAATCTCGGCGCATGATTTTCACGCCGGTCGCAACCGCCATCGCGTGCGAGGCGCGCAGCCAGCCTGGTTGAATTTGATGACGTGGCATCACTAATCTACCGCCACTACGGCTCGATTGCGAGCAGCTCGTGCAACCCACGACGACTACCACTGTAGCCTAAACGCCCAGGAAATGCAATCGACTGCATCTTGTAGCACATTACAATATCGTGCGCTGGCAATGGTCAACTGCTCCGCACGCGCCTACTCATGATGGAACTCGCTGGATTCAGAAGGTGGTGTGAGCTGGAGGCTTGCGCTGAAAGCCAGTGAGCTGGGAAAGGACATAAACAGGAAGTGTGAGAGAGCTAGAAATGAATGAGCTGTAGAGAGAGAGTGAGAGGTTGGCCGAAGCTTGAATTGAAAGCCAGTGAGCTGGGAAGGGCCAGTGCGGGCTGGGGGACTAGAAAGTGACCTAGAAACCTCCCAGTTTCCCACGAGAAAACGCAGCTGGCTGGACTCGGGAATCCAGTGGAAGGCCGACTGTTGAGACCAAGCCTGGGCTTGGGCTGATGTTGAGACCAGGGCTGTCGATTGGTCTGGGTCCAGCCCGTAAGAAGTTGAGCTGTCTCGAAAACAACCCTGAGCTATCCGGGAAGCGGTCGTAAAATCAGGGCATTCATATTACTGGCTCTGAGAATGCATGCGTAATAAAGCTAAGTTATCGAGCTATACATACGTTAGTGGAACGTGGGGGGCTGGTGTTGTTGGGAGGAGTGGGAGAGAAACAAGTTCGCGGTCTAAGGTAAGGAAGAGAGGGGGGGAGGGGGGGGGAGTAGCAGGTACGGAAATCCGGGGAGCCCCAAAATCTGTCCGTTAGAAATCCGGGATAGGGAGAAAACCAGCCCTGAAAATCTCCGAGATGAGCTAAAACTAACCCTGAATTCTCAGGGAAAATGGACAGATGTCCGTGAATCGACAGGCATGGTTGAGACCAAGCCTCCACGCCACGAGCAGGAAAAGGGGCACCGCTCACGACACGGCACGAAAGCTGGCGAACCACAGAAATGTCGCGACTGTGTTGCTGTCTGGGAAGGCGAACTGTTGCCGAAACTGGCCTTCTCCATGTTCCGTGTTACAAACCGCATGTGCTTCCGCACGTGACCAAATTCAGCGAGTTAGGTATTTTGATAGTTGAGGCCCTCAACTTGAGGGTGATTGCACTGTTCTGTACTGAACTGTACAAACCACACCCCAACCAAATCAACCAGCCCAAATCACACTCCAACCAGACCAACCAGCCCAAACCCAGCTGTTTGCCTGTGCAGTCCGTCCACACTCCATGGATCCCAAGGCTGTCGCCGATACTGTATCCCTCGCAACCAGCTTCAAGTGAGTGGAAAATGCTGGGTTTTTTAAGTTTTAAGTTTTATTGATGGTCGTAACCAATACAAATGATACAAGCAACAGCAATGATGACGAATCAAGGTCGTAAAAACAACCTGCACTGTATCGTGCTAGCTGCCCAGCAGGACTCCCGCTGGCACCAGGGACCACCTGATGGCCGGTACCAGGCCTAGGTGAGGATGCAACGTTCACGGGGGGCGGAAAGGGTCGTTCAGGAGCCAGGTCCGTTGTAGTGCTGGGTGTATTGAAGGGTACAAAGAAGAGTCAAAGCACAGGAGGCGGAGAGACTGGGCGTAGCGAACCCTGGATGCCGTTGCTCTTTGGAATTTGATCGACCGCACTTTCCGCTGCCAGAAGAAAAGCTTGCAAGCGGAAAGGAAAGCTCCTAGGACACGGTGCAGGATGGAGATGGCTGAGGAAGACTCGCGCTGATGTACAGCCGCGCAGCGCTCATCCCAGAGGGTCTTGGCAGCAGCGCCCACCAACAAACACCAAGGTGCAATCTGTCCAGCAGGGTGGGAGAGAGGGAAGAATACAAGCGGAGCCGGGACAGTCACTCCCAGGTGCGAGCGGGCTACCCGACAGAGAGCCGCTGAGACTGACGCCGCTGGGCCACACTCATTGAAGACGTGTAGGAGGGTCTCAAGGGGTCTGGGTTGACAGCGACGACAGCTGCCACCATCTTCCATGAAGCGGAACCGGGCACCTGTGGGAAGGGCTCGTGCAAAAAGGCGGAGGAGGAGGTCACGGGGGCGACTGGGCTGCTCGCGGAGAAAGGGGTGTCTAAGCGAGGGCAGTGCAGGGACAGGGATCTGTAACGCCGTCGACCAGGCTTCCTGTATGGAGAGCGGCTGGGGGCGGTAGAACTGTTTGCGAAGGACTGCTAAGGATGGTGGTCCAGGGCGGAGCAAGTCTATGCGATCAGCTAACCCAGCACCGGAGCAAAAGGGGCCATGGATCCATCTGTCACGGACGAGGATGGTGAGAAGGGAGCGCTCGGGGACGATGCTGCAACTGGCGGGTTCCCTGCCTACACGTCTACAACTGATGTCATACCTATCTGCTACCACCAGACCTCCTGGTAATGGGAACCGAACCTGCAGAAGTTGAGGGGGAGAGAGGGGAGGAGGGGAGACAGGGACAGTCCAATCGCCTGCAGCCAAGGAACCCAGAGGGCGTTGAAAAGGGAGTAGGACCTCCCACCAGTCCAGAGGAACCGCTTCGATAATGGCAGTGAGGATACGTCTGCTGCAGGGGAAACGAGCAGTAGGGAATTGACGGAAAATTTCAACTCTGGAGAGGCGACGAAGACCAGTCTCTGTAGGGGTGAGGAGATGACCAAGGCGGAGTTGGAGGGTGAAGAGAGGCAGTTCTTCTTTGAGACCACCAAAGGGCTGCCCGTCCGGCTTGAGGAGAAAACGATTAAAGGGGAGAGGTTCTGCCAGTAGGACCCAAGGTTCCAGGCGTGGGGGGTGAATGAGCGGGGACATGGCCAGGAAGGACTCAAGTTCAGCCCTGGCACGCGCGGGGGTGGAGACATGGAGATGTCTCAAGATGAGGGGGTGGAGAAGGAAGCAATGAAGTCCGAAAGGCAAGGTGGAGCAGCTGCGTGCGATGTCCTCAAACGGGGTGGGCCGGAAACGGCGGCAGGCTCTCTGGACGTTGAGGGCAGAGACGTACTGCGAGGGTTCGAGACCGCCGATCCCGCCGTGTTGTTTTTTATTATAGAGGATGCGTTTGGTGAGAAGCCGGGAGACGAGGCCTGTGTAGTGATGCTTACTGGCGGAGAGGAAATTTCCAACGAGCATGTCCAGCTGCTTAAGCAATCGAGGGGGAGGAGGCTGAAAGCGGCCGCCAAAGGCAATCCGGGGGATGACCCTCTCAGTGACAAGGGCAGCGCGGCACGAAGCAGTGAGGTGGAGTTTGGAGAGAAATGCGATGGTGGATGAGGCTGTGGCGAGAATCTGTTCCCACGTCCTGACTCCGGGTTGGGTCTGTTGAACGAACACACCCAGAATACGTTCAGCGTCTTCGGGCTGGCGCACCGGAATGGGGCCTGCATGCATAATCTGCTGGTGCGGGATATTAAAGGGGAGGATGGAGCACTTATTCCAGTTAGGCTGTTCCCCGGAGACCAGGGCAAAGGAGTCCAAAAGCTGGGAGGCAGTGTGAAGTTCGGAGTCTGAGTTGAGGAAAATGGAAATGTCATCGGCATAGCATGCTGCCAGACGCCGTTGGTGGTTAGAGAAGGCGAAACCCGGGAGGGCAGAGGACAGATGGCGGTGAAGGACCTCGAAGACACAGATGAACAAGAGGGGGGCTAGGGGACAGCCTTGACGGACGCCTGAGCGGACCGGGAAGTCGGGTCCTGGATGATTATTGACCAGTACCCGGGTTGAGGTGTCAGTGTGGAGGAGGCGTACCCAAGTGATGAAGTCGGAAGGCAGGCCGAGATAGGACAAACACTGGTACATGAACTCGCGATCTACTAGGTCGTATGCTTTGCGAATGTCTACAGTGAGTACAAGGAGGGGTACGGAGCGGGCAACTGCCCATTCCATTAAGTCGAGAGTGTCGTTGATCGTATCTCCAAT